GCGCCGACACGAAAAAGAAATGGGGGGGGGGGGGCGGAGGAAGAAGGGGACTCGGCTCCCCTACATTTGTCCGAAGGCCACAGGGAAGCTCAAGGAGTCTAAGACTTTTTCTTAAGTGTGTAATTATATATATATATATATATATATATATATATATATATATATATATATATATATATATATATACACACACACACATACATACACTTACAATTTGCTGAAGAAACAGTAAATTTAATATATTGAAAACACCATAACCTTTTCAAACTGAAACTACTTAAGAATAATTCAGGGAGGGGAAGGGAACAAATTGAACAAAAAGCGGGGAGGGGGGTGTCCAGCGCCCATGATTAAGTTCGTGTAACAGTTGAGAGGTGCACATGGAGTTAAGACAAACCATGCCATGCAAGGGGTAACCAAGAAAGGCGTTGACCTTGGTACTGAAAGTAGCAATGAAAAACACATAAAGTAAACAATAATTAATCAGAGCGTACCCGTATGTGTGTATTCAACGCGGGATTCCATGACATGAACCTCTGCGCACTTGACCTGGATTAGAAATAGCTGGCAGGTTTCACTGCTCGGTAAACAAAATGAACCAAAAAACACAAATGCCTGGAAACTTTGTTTTTGGTTTGTTCTTGGATTGTTACTTTTTTAAATGCGTAGATTTTGCGAACAATCGTCCGCATGATGGTGGGAGTGGTAACAGTGGCGTATCTTCATTTTTTTTTTTGCACCACCTTTAGTCTGCTATTCTTATGAACTTATTATTTTCTGTAAGAAATTCACTATCAGTTTCTGGTCATTCTTATTATCATCAGTCAGTTTGTCCTTTACAGAACCTCGCTCGCCTCGCGTTCGACTGAAAGTCTCTCTTTCAGTAGCAAATTTCGCAACCAGTGCATCTTCAAAAATGTAAAGGTAAAGTCGTGAGATGTGAACCAGCGTCATTGCACACGGTTATAAACCATAAGTGCTCTGCCACCAGTACGGACAGCTGATAAGAATTGCCCGATTGTGTCGCTGTCCGCACATAACTCTGTAGCTACAGCGAAGTTCCTCCATTTACCTCAGAGTGTCACTCTGGTACCCATTTCCTAGAGTCTGGGTAAACCTCGGGAACTGCCCGGTTTCGAACAATGACCGTGGGCTGCAGCGAGTTGCAGCTGGATTTGAAAACGAGCCTCTTATCAACTGCGCTAACGCGGCCCCTTCATCTTCAGTGTCTTGCATCTACCTTCGCTGAGGTCTGCCCTTGCCTCGTTTTCTGAAAACTGCACACTCCATCACCTCACTCTCTACGCCACCATGGGTCAATTTTGCAGGCTGTATTCTTTTTTCCCCTGACATTTGTGCATAGACCAGTCAGCACGAGATGGTGATGTGATTTTATTGAATGGCTTTAGTTAAAGTTAACAAATCACTTAAAACAAAAAGAGACATCTCATACAAAGCATATTCATTAGCACCTTATGCTACCAGTGCCAGACGTGGTCAGTCACAATAAAACATAAAATAAAATTAGTAACCATGGAAATGAGGTGTCTGAGAAAAGCTGTAGGAGTGACCAGAAGAGATAAAACCAGGAAAAAGGTCATATGAGATAAAGTCGGCACAGAACCAATTCTAAATTACATAGAAAGACAGCAAATCAAATGGTTTGCCCACTTGGAGAGAATGCCTTCTGATGCTATAACATTCAAGGCATATACCAAAAGAGAAGAGGGACGTCGAGCAAGAGGTAGACTAAGAACAATATGGAAGAATAACATCAGAGAAACTCTATACAGTACCACTATGTGTCTGGTCGAAACAGCCAGGAATGCACGAATCAGGAACTCATATCTCTCTCCAAACCCGTGTGGGTTCCGGGGCCCTATTGTAGGGAAAACAAGAGTAGACCCACTGCCTCCCCAAAAGCATGTCGTAAGAGTCGACTAACTGGGGAGCTTCCTTTGAAGTCGGAGTGCATCTGCCTGAGAGGTAAGGAACCAACAGTCTGCATTCAATTGAATCAGATCTGTAAAACTGATGCACACGCAACACTCAGGTTCTGGAGCAGGACTGCAGTCCAGAAGTGGACGAACAACCAGAGCTTTTCGTCAGACTGTACAGCTGGTGAACGCGAAGAAGAAGAAGATATCCCTCTCCACATGCATAGTGGTAAAAGAGGATATAAAGAAAAAAGAATCACAGAAGCACTCACACCACAACATGACGGCTTAGTAGGTTGACATAGACTTCATCGTCAGTAACACACCGTCTTTACAGTGAAGGTTAGCTGCAGTTAAATCTCCAGTACTGTCGGAAGTTTGATGTGCACTCTCTCAGACTGCTCTTTGGCCATTTCCTAATGATTTCCACCCATTTATGTCGCTGCCTATGTCTTGCTCACTTTTCATGGACTCTTTCTTCAAATATTGTTTTTATTATCATCATAAACCGCTTTTGCCGATAAGCGGCGTGGGGAGGAGTAATTTGCGATCCAGTGCACGCTGGCTGGCACTGGTCATTCATGCTGTAAAGGCGTAAAGTGTTTTTAGTGTTGTCAATCCATGTTTCGTGGCTGTTCTCCTGCTCAACTAGTTGATCTTCTGAGATGTAGTGCCCGTAATGGCATTGACATTGAACGAGATGGCCGGTCCTGCCATAACACCCCCCGCAACATAGAAGAGGTCCGTCGACCTAATGAGGCATATATGGCAAGGGAACTTATTCTTATCCTGGGCCTGGAAACGTGAACAGCCCCAAATGGTCAGATCCCTTGATCTGCTTCTTCTTGACGAATCTGGTACACACATTTGGTGATGTCTTTTATTGTGGTAGAAATAATTTTAATCACCACCACTAACGCAGAGCTGCCGTGGTGTATCGGCCTGCGGATTCCAAGGTGATGCGTTCAAATCCAGACGGAACCGGATTTTTTTTTCTTCAGAAATGAACTAGGTCGATCGAGTCTTGAGTGGGTGTACAAGGTAAAGACCTGGGAAGTAAATGCGGCTGGCATGATGCTGACTACATCAACCACCAAGTGCCGATTGGTCTATACAATATAGATCTAGCCCTATGTGCCCAATACGTCTTAAAATGTGGAAAAGAGCCCTGTACATACCATCACTGAGCCCACAGGTTCTGATGCGTGTGATTAGCTTATGTAACAGCTGTGACAGAGTATTTTATAGTGAGCTCCAGCAAGGGACAAAGCGCTATAAGGACACTCAAGACTGCTCTCAATTCTTTTGGCTTCAACACAGCGACGTGGGAGGCTGCTGCACAAGACCGTTCTGGATGGTGTACATCCCACAGGCATGGTGCATCAGTCTGCCCGGCAGCGGAGGTTGCACAGGCAGAGAAACGGAGGCAGACTAGAAAGAACCGTATCGCTAATCCCACACTTACTGCGGCTTCCATCTTTGTCCGCACTGCTCAAGAACTTTCAGGACTCAAATCGAACTAATCAGTCACCATAGTACTCATAATCATTGATCATTACTACTTTGGATGAAAAGTGGTCTTCATCACTCGTGATGGACGAACAACAACTTCACCCACCAAGTGCCGAGTAGTCTGTGAAATAAATGGTCTAGCCTTATATTCCCAAAACGCCTGAAGACGTTTAAAAAAAAAAAATGAAAGGACTAACCAAGAAACTCCGATAAACTCCATGGTGCTGACAAAATGAACGCAAGTAGCCATTAATTAATTATAGCCGCACCTCTGCGTCAGTATTCCCCGAGGGATTTCCTGAACCTCTGCGCACTTCACTAGATGATCAGGTTTCTGCGGGGTGAACTAAATACACCAGACGTGAAGTGAAGGTGGGAGACTTAACTGTGGCGTGTGTACTTTAAACAATTTATTTAGGACCGCTTCTAAGATGGTGTTTCTTAAAACATCTCCTGAACTTATTATTCTGTATACAAATATTCACTGTAAGTTTCTGGTGATACTTTCAGGCTGTATATTTTTCTTCTGAACTTTTTCTACTGACCAGTTTGAACTCGATGGGTGCCAGTTTGAACTCGATGGGTGTCAGTTTGAACTCGATGGGTGCCAGTTTGAACTCGATGGGTGTCAGTTTGAACTAGATGGGTGCCAGTTTGAACTCGATGGGTGCCAGTTTGAACTAGATGGGTGCCAGTTTGTATTTGATGGGTGCCAGTTTGAACTCTATGAGTGCCAGTTTGAACTCGATGGGTGAAGCGATTTTGTGTGTGCGTGTGTGGAGTAAACAGGTTAAAATTAACAAATAGCAGAAACACACACATTTTTTATATCATGTTTTCTACCCATTTATATTGCTGCCTACCCTTTTGTTGCTCTCTTGCATTGGACTCCTCACCCCCAGCACAGCTTTTAAAAAGGTGTTGTATTTTTAATGAGGCAGAAATGATTGTGATCGTCATCACCAGCCTGCACTTTTGTTGTGCATAGGAACCGTTAGCCAATTTTACTAACTGCCGGGTATCTTGTGGCGAAGTGGTCAAGCCATTTGCCTTGCGCTCTGAAGGTCGTGGGTTCATTTCTTGGCGGCGCCGTTCAATTCACGAGTGTAGTTTTTACCGAGATCCATGGTAAGTTCGTGTTTTGTTTAATACTTCTAGACAGGTGAAACCCTGTGCAATGAAGTCACTCCTCTGATTTTAATTTTTAAGACACAGTGGTGCCTCACAAAAAATTTAATTGGATGTCTGAAAACATACAAACCATAAACATTAACTCGTAGAGAAATTAGATTGCACAACCAAAAATATTTCACATTCTTTGAGCATCAGAGGGGAGAACTTGAGTATGTTGGGACAGTGAGAAAGTTGAAGAGGAACAGAGGCGGGTAACAAACAACAAACTTCATTACCAAAGGATCACAGCATGAGCCCCCTTCAGACACTCATCTTTCATACTGCTGTTATATTTTATCAAACAAAGATAGAGGATGGTAACATGTTTGAAAAAGATAATTGTTCTGATATTGTTTGCCTTCTGATGTTGATCACCAGAAGATGGACAGAAGAATGCAAGCAAAGTTGGTGTCCAGGAGATTCCATGCAGAGTTTGCTCAGCGCCTTCCTCAGGGTTCCACTTCGGGGCACTCACCTGCGAAGGATGTAAGGTCAGTCCAGGCTGCACAGATGATTATATAGATGGATTGTTTTTGACATGGGTTTTTATAGACATGGATTGTTATAGACATGGATTATTATAGACACAGATTATTATGGTCATTGATTATTTTATACATGGCTTGTTTTTATGATCGTTATAGACATGGTATGTTTAAAGACATGGATTGTTATAGACATGGATTGTTTTAAGACATGGATTGTTTGAAGACTTGGTTTGTTTTAGACATGGATTATTATAGGCATGACTTGTTTTAAACATGGATTTTTTTTTTAGACATGATTGTTACAGCCTTTGACTTTTATAGGCTTAAATTGTTTTAGACACAGATTGTTATAGACATACACTGATGTAGGCATGGATTGTTTAGACATGACTTGTTAAAGACATGTATTGTTGTGAATTGTCAGTGAATATGCTCATGCTATCCGAAGACGGTGGTTAGTTTCTCTGAGGCTGTTGGGGGACGGACAAAGATTATATTTTCTTTCCAGGGGTCGTTGGTGTGCAAGAAATTAAGCAGGTTGATAGGCTTACAGTTTGGTGTTGTTTGTCCATCTCGAGTAATGACACTTCCAAGGTAGTAGTGATAAATGATTATGAGTACAAAGGTGGCTGATTAGTCCAATATGGGTCTGAAAAGTTCTTGAACAGTGTGGACAACAGATGGAAGCCGCACTAAGTGTGGGATTAGCAAACGATTCTTTCTAGTCTGCCCCGGTTTTTCTGCCTTTGCAACCTCCGCTGCCTGGCATGATCAGTCCAATATGAGCCTGGAAAGTTCTTGAGCAGTGTGGACAAAAGGTGGAAGCTGCAATAATTAGGGGATTAGTGATACAGTTCTTTCTAGTCTGTCTCAGTTTCTCTGCCTGTGCAACCTTCGCTGCCTGGCACTCTGATGCACCATGCCTGAGGAATGTACGCCATCCAGAACAATCCAACCCAGACACAGATTGTTATAGACATACACTGATGTAGGCATGGATTGTTTAGACATGACTTGTTAAAGACATGTATTGTTGTGAATTGTCAGTGAATATGCTCATGCTATCCGAAGACGGTGGTTAGTTTCTCTGAGGCTGTTGGGGGACGGACAAAGATTATATTTTCTTTCCAGGGGTCGTTGGTGTGCAAGAAATTAAGCAGGTTGATAGGCTTACAGTTTGGTGTTGTTTGTCCATCTCGAGTAATGACACTTCCAAGGTAGTAGTGATAAATGATTATGAGTACAAAGGTGGCTGATTAGTCCAATATGGGTCTGAAAAGTTCTTGAACAGTGTGGACAACAGATGGAAGCCGCACTAAGTGTGGGATTAGCAAACGATTCTTTCTAGTCTGCCCCGGTTTTTCTGCCTTTGCAACCTCCGCTGCCTGGCATGATCAGTCCAATATGAGCCTGGAAAGTTCTTGAGCAGTGTGGACAAAAGGTGGAAGCTGCAATAATTAGGGGATTAGTGATACAGTTCTTTCTAGTCTGTCTCAGTTTCTCTGCCTGTGCAACCTTCGCTGCCTGGCACTCTGATGCACCATGCCTGAGGAATGTACGCCATCCAGAACAATCCAACCCAGACACAGATTGTTATAGACATACACTGATGTAGGCATGGATTGTTTAGACATGACTTGTTAAAGACATGTATTGTTGTGAATTGTCAGTGAATATGCTCATGCTATCCGAAGACGGTGGTTAGTTTCTCTGAGGCTGTTGGGGGACGGACAAAGATTATATTTTCTTTCCAGGGGTCGTTGGTGTGCAAGAAATTAAGCAGGTTGATAGGCTTACAGTTTGGTGTTGTTTGTCCATCTCGAGTAATGACACTTCCAAGGTAGTAGTGATAAATGATTATGAGTACAAAGGTGGCTGATTAGTCCAATATGGGTCTGAAAAGTTCTTGAACAGTGTGGACAACAGATGGAAGCCGCACTAAGTGTGGGATTAGCAAACGATTCTTTCTAGTCTGCCCCGGTTTTTCTGCCTTTGCAACCTCCGCTGCCTGGCATGATCAGTCCAATATGAGCCTGGAAAGTTCTTGAGCAGTGTGGACAAAAGGTGGAAGCTGCAATAATTAGGGGATTAGTGATACAGTTCTTTCTAGTCTGTCTCAGTTTCTCTGCCTGTGCAACCTTCGCTGCCTGGCACTCTGATGCACCATGCCTGAGGAATGTACGCCATCCAGAACAATCCTGTGCAGCAGCATCCGATGTTGCTGTGTTGATGCCACGAGAGTTGAGAGCAGTTTTGAGAGTGTCCTTATATCCCTTGCAGGTAAGGCTACATACAGTGGCGGGCGAACGTGCCAAGCACCAGACTAATGTACTGAATGCTGTCAGAGAAGTAAGAATTTTGCAACAACCAAGTGACAGTGAATATGCAACCATGACAAAACTACATGAGCAGCAAGTTTAATGGGATGTGGTAAGACAAGGGCTTGATGCAGAAAGCCAAAGAGGAATAAGAAACCAACACAGGACTGGTGACATTTAACTGACTGCTACATGCTGCAAGATTAACTGAGGAGGGGATCCGAGCACTTATGGACTGAATGGTTCAATGTGCAATGAGTATAATCTGTCGACCAGCTAACTAAGTAACCATCATCATCATCATCATCATCAAATACTTCTGCCATTGAGTATCGTCGGGTGGAATAATTTGCGATCCAGTGCATGCTGGCTGCCTCTGGCTGTTAGTCATGCTGTGAAGGCGTAGTGTGTCTTTCTTTAATGTTGTTGATGCATATTTTGAATGGCCGACCTCTTGCTCTTGATCTGATTCTTTGAGATGTAGTGCTTGTGATGATATCTGATCTTGCTGCATTCTAATGAGATGGCCAAACTACTTGATCTGCTGTTTCTCAATGAATCTAGTTCAAGGTGTTGTTCCCACAATCTCTCTGATAGTATCATTGTTCACTTGATCTCAGATTGTAAGGTTGGCGGCTTTTCTCTGGCATCTCATCTCGCCAGTGGTGATTTTGCGTATATGGGCTTTAGATAGTGTCCATGTTTGGCACTGGTTGTAGTTTAATGTTGGAATGAACATGCTTTTTATAATCTGTCTCTCTGCACTCATGTTTGGATATCTTAACAATGGTGACAATTGGTATCTATAAGTGCGCTTGCTTTCTGACATCTGGTTTCTATTTCTGTGTCAGTTCTACCATCTTCCATGATCATAGTTCCAAGAAATTTAAATTTCCTAACTTAGTTCAGACTGGAACCACTCAGCTGTATGTGTGGTTTGCCTAGGGTAACTAAGTAACCATGATTGGTTAAACGTACAAATTTGTATAAACATGGATTCTTCTTAACATGGATTGTTATAGACATGGCTTTATATAAACATTGGTGTTATGGATATGGATTGTTACAGATGTTGACTGTTATAGACATTGATAGTTATAAACGTGTATTATTCTAGACACTGATTGTTATAAACATGGACTATTCTAGACTTTGATTGTTATAAACATGGATTATTCTAGACACTGATTGTTATAAACATGGATTATTCTAGACACTGATTGTTAAAAACGTTTGTGAACATTTCTTGTGGATTAACTAAAGGATCTGATGTCCAAATCTCTCATCTTAGGGGTTTTTCAGAAGGATGGTCAAAGAGAGAGAAGCTTATTCCTATAAGTGCAACAGAAATGGGAATTGTGATGTCAACGCTATGACCCGTAACATGTGTAAAGCCTGTCGCTACAATAAGTGCTTACAGATTGGAATGTCTGTAGAAGGTATATTACTTCTTTTAATTTTGAAATAGAGGGTCCCCTCAACTTACGACCAAGTTCTGTTCTTAGTCTTCTTCCTTTTACTACTCCTGGAATGCTTTATGGCGTCAGGGCAGGAAAAGATCTCTGGAACGGGCTCTTCTGTTCGCTTCGTATAAAGTACTTTTCACTGTTTTGGATATTTCTGCGGCCCGTCTTCTGCATGGATGACGTCTTGCTCTGTTAAAACTGTGTCTGTATAACATTGCTCTCTGTGGTTCCCGGTCTGATGCCAATCTTGTTACATACCAAACCATTTGGTTTGTCGCCTCTCTGTAAAGTTCAGTACATTCAAAGGTCAAGAAATCAAACCGGTCGTTGAGCTAGATTTATGTTTAACACTATGTTAATTCAAATAGGTTATACAAATCCTATACAAAACCCAAAAATTTAATCTGTTTTTGTATAATTATTTTACTTGATGGGAATGAATGTATCATATGTACAGTAAAACTTTGCTTAACCGCCTCTTGTTTTACCATCATTTTCTATTATCCATCATCATCTTTAAAACATGTGTGACAATCAACAAACAAACACCTCAAAGACACAGAAGGAGATGACAGATTATTTTAAAGTAACATGAATTTCAGAAAATATAAAATCAGAAATGAGGTCATACAAGTATAAAGTCATCAGAGAACAAATTTTAAATTACATACAAAGACAGCAAATCAAATGGTTTGCTTACTTGGAAAGAATAGCTTCTCGTGCAATGCAACACAGGGCATATACCTGGATAACAGACCAAGAACAAGATGGGAAAATAACATCAGAGAAACTAGACAGCACCACGATGTGTCTTGGAATGAAGCAGCCAGAAAAGCAGGAAGCAGGACCTTATATCTCCCTCGATACCTGAAGCGGCAAAAGAGGACGTAAAGAAGAAGAAGAAGAAGGTCAGGTTTTAGTATTGCAAAACATTTCTATATATTAGTACTCTTATATTGAAGTTTATATTGATCATTTTGTAAAATTAAATGCAGTATGTATTTACTATTCCCTTTTGAAGGAGTTTTTCATTTTCATCCCAAGCCCGCGGTGAAATCACGATACTGTACATAAATATTAGGAGATTTCTGTTACCCTTCTATTCTTTTATTTGTCACAGACCTGGTTCGAACAGTGACGGTTAATTTAAGTTTTACTGCACTTTGTTGCATCAGTTCTGGGAACGTTTTGCCTCTACCTGTGTAGTATCTTTCTTTAT